CTTGAAAGGGAATAGAGGGGTATGAAGGGACACAACCCAGATTTGTAGCCACAGACACCTTGGAAGAGGAGCGGAGATATCAGGTAATTATTGCACTCTTGCCTCACTGGTTGGAAGGAGCATTTTATATTTGAACACTAACTGATAATTCATTAGACCAAACCCTGTGCTGGGTATGGCAGTGACAGAGGGTAAGGCCTCTGCTCTGAGGCTCCTGGGCACACAGCGGCCATTCCAAGGGTCTGAACAACTCCAGGGGAACTGTCCTCCCACTGGCTTCAGTAGCTACGGTGCAGACAGACGATGCCCTTGCCCTGAGGGGCCATTCCCCAGGGTTCTCAGCCATGTGAGACTGGCAAACAGCAAAGTCTGGGGTGGCCAGGGGGCTGTTGGGCTCCAGACCCTGACCAGAGGTGACTCCACCCTGATACTAGAGGCTGTAGGCAGCCCTTGTCTGTGTGCTCAGGCTCCTGTAGGGGAATCTGGTATGACCTGGCCCACCCTCACAGGTGGTGTAGTTATATCCGGGTTTCAGTCCTGGGGCAAGTTGGCTTGTTGGCCACTAGAAGCTCACAGCGGGGGCCAGGGGAGCTGCTTCTCCCAGGCTGAGGCAGTGGTGGTGGGGGCTGGGCTGTGCGTGAGGAAGACAGTGGCCTCCCCTGAGTCCCTGGGGCAATGACCCTCCAGCTCCTTCGTCTCCACGTGCAGAGTGAGGTCACTTGAAGGTGTGTTCACTGTGGAACAATTTTTGGCTTCCCCACCTCTGGGACGGGTGCTAGGCATGTTCTGAGGAGGAGCTGGGGCCACAGGGTGTGTGTGCTGGAGCCAGCGGGGAGTAGGATGGAGGGCAGGCGGGTGTGAGCCCCCCACTGACCCCACTGTCCTCGAGGGCTGTGGGTAAACTTGCATTCCAGATGTTCAGCAGCTGTCTTGGCCATTTCCGCCCCTTCTGACCCCACATCCGCCAGGAAGCTTCCCTGCCTGTCCTCAGGCTCCAAACCCCCACCTTCCCAGCACCCCACTTCCTGAGCAGAGGCGTTTGTGCAGACTCAGCGCCCCTCCCGCCGGGCGGCCTCAGTTTTCCCCAGGCCGGGCACCGCTCCCAGAGCCCGGGCGCCGGCGCCGAGGTCTGCTCCCTGCTGGGCGACCCTGCCAGGCCCGGCCCACCCCGCCTCTGAGACTGGTTTTCTCTCTCTGCCTTCCTTCCTCTCCAAGGTTGGCTCCCAGCTCAGCTCCCGCATAAATCACGGCCCCCAGGGAGGCAGGCAGAGCACCAGCAGGAGGGAGAGCCTCAGCGGGGGAGGGGACCTGTGGGGCGCGGCAGGCGGAGGCCAGAGGTTATGCCCGCCGGAGGGCTGGATGCACAGACGTCAGTCCGGGGCTGGCTGGGGGGCTGGTAAGTAGGGACGCAGCCCCACCTCCAGCCCTGTTGCTTACTTCCCTGAGCAGATGGGGAGGGGGCACAAGAGGTCACCACTGCTGCACTGGTCCACTGGAGGGGCTCCTGTCTTGAGGGGCGGGGGAAGGCAGCTTTCCTGTCACATGCCTTCCTGTCCCACAGCAGAACCCCGGTTCTGGGGCACTCAGGCTGCTGGGGCTAGGGGCAGGGCTGGTAGGGGCAGGGCTGGTGGGGTCAGGGGCCAGGACAGACTCAGCGCCCCTGACTTTGCCCCTCAACGTCTGCTCAGCTCTTCACTCGCTGCCTCCCTCCTCCCAGGCTTCCTGCTTGCCCCTGGGGAGCCAGGGTTTTGTGCCAGACCAGGGCAGGTGGGTTGAAGAAAAGTCTCCACATCCAAACATGCGTCTCAGAACAGATGGGAAGGGGGAGAGGCTCATCCGAAGCAGGACCTGTTCTTGGAGGATGGAACAGGAGTCCCAATGGGGGTGGTTATGAGTTGGAATTGACTTGATGGCATGAGTTTGTTTTTTGTTTTTTTGACCAGGTGGATGGGGGAGAGGGGCCCATGAGTAAGTGGACTGGAGGGGGCTTGCAGGCAGACAGAGGGCCCCCTAACCAGGCAGACTGGGGGGTGGGCTTGAACAGGTGTACTATCCTGTGGCCTGTCCCTGGGCTGCACAGACCCCTCCCACCACTGCTGTGCCCACAGATTCTCAGGGTCCAGATGAGATGCGGGCCCTCCAGGCACCCTCGACTACACTGCCTGAATCTCCGTGGAGAAGTAGTGCCTCGGCCCCTCATCAGGCCCTCTGTTCTGCTGGGGGCTCACTCTATGGTCTGGACCCCTATAACTAGAGCAGAGTAACTTCAGAGTTTGTTAATGAGTTATCTGGAGAGGAAGTACCCCCAGAGGCCCCCATGTCCACCCCTCACCAGACTGGCTACCTTTCTCCACAGTGGCCAGGGGGGACATTTCAGGAGGACGCTCACCACTGACTCCCACAGCCAGTCCCACCCATCCCTGGGCACCAGGTTTCGTAGCCTATGTGCTCTCCAGGTGGCACTGCAGTTCAAACCCACCAGCCATTCCATGGAAGGAAGACCAGGCAACCTATTTCCATAAAGATTGACTGCCTCAGAAACCCAGCGGGGGTGGTTATGAGTCGGAATTGACTTGATGGCATGAGTTTGTTTTTTGTTTTTTTGACCAGGTGGATGGGGGAGAGGGGCCCATGAGTAAGTGGACTGGAGGGGGCTCGACCAGGCAGACCAGTAGATCTTGAGACACCCACCTGGCCCTCAGGACCAGCCCAATGTGGAGAGCTGCCCAATCTGGAATAAAGGCTGGGTAACCAGGAAAATCTGGACCCCAGCTGGCTGGTATGGGGGTAGGGTTAGCAGACTTAGTAAAAGCAAAAGCAACCAACAACCAAAAAGCAAACTGGAACATCCACTTGAACTTGAATTTCAGATAAACAACACTTTCTTAATATAAGAATGCCCCATGCCAAACAGTAGACTGGCATATGGGGTGAACACTGATGTCAGGGCAGTGTTTGCACAGGGAGATAACTCAGGGGGGCACAGGAAAGACGGACACAGGGCTGAGGTAACTACAGGGAGGAAGTGGGAAGAGAGCTGTTGCATTATGGGAAATTGCAGTCAATGTCATGAAACAAAATGTGTATGAACTGCTGTACAGAAAATGAATTTGCTTTGTAAACTTTCATCCAAATCACAATAAAAATTAAAAAAATAAAAATAACATAGCAGATTGAAAAAAAAGAAAAAGAATACCCCATGCAGTATTTGGGATATACTTATACTGCAAGCGTATTTGTTGTTAAGGTGTTGTGGAAGAATCCTGATCAAAGAGGGGACATGTGGAACGAAATTCCAAATTGCCATGGAATCAGACTTTCTGGAGCCTTGGAGGCTGGATGAGTCCTGAAACTACTGGCCTGAGATAATCTTTAGACCTTAAACCACAAAGATCCTCTGAAGTCTTTCTTAAACCAAGCAGTAAGTTAAGTTCATTTCATAAAAAACATCTGCCTGGAACACTTGCCCTTTGAACTCTCTATATGGGATCAAATTGGCAACAACTGGAAAGGTCAGGCAGGGCAGTGAGTGTTAAGGGGGAAGAGCAACTTGGAAAAGGAGAGTGAGCCTGGTGGCACAGCTCAGACTGGAATCGGTGTCGCTGACTCGTACCTGTAGAAACTGCTGAGGTAGTGCATGTTTTGCTGTATATACAAGAATTAAAAATATTTTTAAAAAAAGTATTTGTTGCTTATGTGAAACACAAATTCAACCGGGTGTCCTGTATCGTTTCTGGAAACCCTGGGGGGCCAGTCAGCCCCAGCAGCCCTCTCTGTAACCACCGCTCTCCTGTGACCCTCTGCACTACCCTCCTGGCTCTCAGCCTCTAAGACAGCTGCTTCGCAGCTCTGATTCCCAAACTGGTAGGATGCGGGGGCTGCGGACACGCAGAGGCAGACAGCAGAGCCCCTGCACACTTGGTCTCAGCAGGCCTGGCTCTCGGAGGGTCTGGCAGGGTTTGCCACTTTCTTGGAATTAACATTTTACATGTTTAAGGTCAGCAGCTGGGGGAACGCTCTGAGTCCTGCCCTCCCCTGGGGCTCCCCCTTTGGGGCTCTAGCCCTGCCCCCTTCACTTTCATTGGGCTTGCTCTGTGCTGTGCAGGAGAAACAGAGAACCCCCGCCACAGCCCTCCAGAAAAGAGGAAGGTGTAGCATGCAGGGTGGTTTAGGTGGGAGGGGGGCCTTGGAGCAGGGCTTGAAAAAGCAGAACCTTGGCAAAGCAAGACCCACCTGGAGAAGGTCACTGCTGCTGTGGGGGCCGAGAAAAGCAGATCTGGGAAGGGCAGGGCTTTCCAGCTGGTGCTTACCCCTCTCTTGGGAATGAAAGTGTGGTGGGCAGGGGTTCTACCCTTGGAGCTGTTAACCAGGGACCCTGGCCAGGCCAAATCCCCGGTGCTCCCCATGAATGGTGTTGCAAAGGAGCTGAGCCCACTCTGGGAGTCCACAGGTTTGCACAGTGTCAACAACCTGAACCCCAAAGAAGCTACTTCCTGCTCCACGGTCCCCTCCTACACAGTATAGGTACCTCTGGAGGCTGGGGAAGGTGCATCAAGCCTGGCACAGAGCTGCAGGAAGACGGCTAGGCTCTCAGTTGCCAGCCTGCCATCTCCAACTTGAGGAGGAGGGAAGTGGGTGCTGCTCAAGGTGTGGATGGGGCTGGGGGCGAATGGGAGGCAGGCCAGGCAAGGAGGGTGTGGCCACTGCAGGGTCTTGAGGGCAGGGCAGAACCTGGGGGTCCAGGAAGCCTCGGAAGCCTTCACTGTGGTTTCACCAAGCAACAGTGACTCACAATGCTGGCCCGCTGGCACAGACCCCGCCCCGCTGGAAGGCACAGGTCATAAAGGCCATGGGGGCCTAGCTCACGCGGAGGGGTGCTCCGGCATAGCCCTGCGCGGCCCTGGTCCCTGCAGCTGCCCGCTGGGCCGGGCCTAGGCCTCCTGTGGCCACACCGACCCCGAATCTGTGACTGGGTGGGGTGCAGCGCCTCCTAGCCTCGGACCCATGTGTGTCATCTGCTTCGTGAAGGCGCTGGTACACGTGTTCAAGATCTATCTGACCGCAAACTATACCTACAACTTCCGCGGCTGGCCGGTGGACTTCCGGTGGGATGACGTGCGCACCGCCGGCGGAGGCGGCAGCGGGCATCGTGCGTTGACGTACGCGGCGGCCGCAGCTGGCGTGTGGCTGCTGCAGGGTGGCGCGCTCGGGGAGGACACACCAGGCCGGCCGCCGCGCGCTGCCCGCAGCCAGGTGCAGTGCCTCTTGCAGCAGATTCGGGAGCTGCCCAGCCAGCTTGCCAGCTACGCGTTGGCCCATTCGCTGGGCCGCTGGCTGGTGTACCCCGGCTCCATGTCGCTGATGACGCGCGCGCTGCTACCCTTGCTGCAGCAGGGCCAAGCGCGCCTTGTGGAGCGCTACCAGGGTCGGCGCGCCAAGCTGGTGGCCTGTGATGGCAACGAGATAGACACCATGTTCATGGACCGCCGCCAGCAGCCGGGCAGCCAGGGCCGCGGCCTGCACCTGGTCATCTGCTGCGAAGGCAACGCCGGCTTCTACGAAATGGGCTGCCTGTCGGCCCCGCTCGAGGCCGGCTACTCCGTGTTGGGCTGGAACCACTCGGGCTTCGGGGGCAGCACCGGCACACCGTACCCACAGCACGACGCCAATGCCATGGACGTGGTGGTCAAGTACGCTTTGCACCGCCTGCACTTCCCGCCCACGCACGTGGTGGTCTACGGCTGGTCCATCGGCGGCTTCACGGCCACCTGGGCCACCATGACGTACCCGGAGCTGGGCGCGCTGGTGCTGGACGCCACCTTCGACGACCTGGTGCCGCTGGCGCTGAAAGTCATGCCCCACAGTTGGAAGCACCTGGTGGTGCGCACCGTGCGCGAGCACTTCAACCTCAACGTGGCCGAGCAGCTGTGCCGCTACCCGGGGCCGGTGTTGCTCCTGCGGCGCACGCAGGACGAAGTGGTCAGCACCTCAGGCTCCCTGCGCCCCCTGCCGCCGGGCAACGTGGAGGGCAACCGCGGCAACGAGCTGCTGCTGCTCTTGCTGCAGCACCGCTACCCCGCCGTGATGGCGCGCGAGGGCCGCGCCGTCGTGGCCCGCTGGCTGCGCGCCGGCACCCTGGCACAGGAGGCCGCCTTGTACGCGCGTTACCGCGTGGACGACGAGTGGTGCCTGGCGCTGCTGCGCTCCTACCGCGCGCGCTGCGAGGAGGAGCAGGACGGGGAGGAGGCCTGGGGGCCTCACGGACTTGCCTTCCCCTGGCTTGTGGGCCAGGGCCTGGGCACGCGGCGACGCCGGCAGCTCGCGCTCTTTCTGGCCCGCAGGCACCTCAAGAACGTGGAGGCGACTCACTGCAGCCAATTGGAGCCGCAGGACTTCGAGCTGCCCTGGGTGCTGTAGCCCATTTTCTGTGCGGCTTCCGTGTTCACGAACCCACTCCCCTTCCCACATCCCAGCCGCGTAAATCTGGCTCTGCGTGGCTCACTGGGCAAAGCTTTCTCTCAGGGCGGTGGAAGGTGGAGTCTGGGGGAGGGTGGGGCCCTCATCCCACAGGGCCTTCAGCTTAGTGTTCTTTCCTGCTCACTCCCTCCCTCCCTTGTCCCCACGAACACTTTTGGACGTCCCAGTTTGTGCCCTGCATCCGAAGGGAATGCAAAAATTAACCTGACCCACTTTGTGGTGATGCTGTGTGATGGGTGCTTTGATAACCACAGAAGGACACTGGGAACCTGGGCTGGGTCACAGGGACTCTTCCGGATACTCACCAGCTCAGTGTGTGTGCAAGCTTCCCCAGCTGAGCAAGGAGGGCACTGCAGAGGCCTTTGCAGCCAGTGTGGTGTTGCAGGGTGCTAGGATTCATCCCCTCCCCTGGCATCTATGGGAGGGGTTCACAACTGTACCACAAACTGGAAGTAACAAGGCAGACAGAGGGGCATGTCCATACAGGGCTGCGGACGCACAGGGATGACACAGATGAGGCCAAGCCTGCTCAACACCATCTGTGATTTATTCATTTGTTGTCTGCCCTGAACTACATGAGGCAGGCACTTCCAGCTGTCCCTGTTGTCCCCTGGGACAGGGCCTGGCCAAGGCAGATGGAGCAAGAATCTCTGGGGTCAGAGAATCTAAAGAGGCCAGTAGAGCAGGGGAAGTACTGGGGCCTGTGAGAGCAGAAGGGGCACCTACAGGGCCTTGGGGTCCTGAAAGAAAACTGCCTGGAGGAGCTAGCCAGGTGAAAGGAGGGGGATGGGACAGCCTTTGATGCAGAGTAATCAGGCTGGAGCCTGCAGAAGAGGGCGTGGTCATTGGGGGCCAGACCTTAAAGGGCCTGCACCCCATTTAAGGGCTTTCTTCCAGGGGCAGTAGGGTCTAAGGAAGGGAAGAGCTCAGGCTTGTTCTGGCAGAGCCAGGGTGTAGCTCTGTGCCTCTCCTTTGGGGTCAGTGTGTGCTGGGAGTCTCCCAGCCAGCTGCAGGACACCTACTCCCTCACGGGACAGCTGTCAGTATATTAGCCAACACTGGGGTGACCTGGCAGGAGGCTGGACATCGTGGAGGGGGCTTCTTTTCAAGGTGGCTCTGCCTGTAGGAACTCTGTGGCCACAAGACCAGTGTCTGAGTGAGGACCAGGCAGAGGGGCTCTAGAGGAATTCAGGGGCCGAGAAGCCTCCAGCAACCACGTTTGGGCAGCCTGGCAGATCCAATTTTTTTCCTGAACAATCACCACACTATAAATCCCCACAGAAGTACAGACTGAAAAAAGGGGAGACTAGGAGGCCAGACACTGACCCTAAAGTGAAGAGGTGGAACCTTGGAAAGGCTCTCACTGGGTTGAAGGTGCGTGAGCTTAGGCGCTTGTGTCGTTGTCAGTTGATGTCGAGTTGTCAGTTGCCGACTCACGGCAACGCCACGTGTGCAGAGCCGAACTGCTCCGCGGGGTTTTCAAGGCTGCGAACTTTGCAAGCAGAGCTCTAGGCCTGTCTCCCGAGGTGCCTCCAGGTGGGTTCGAACCACCAACCTGAGGTTAGTAGTGAGCGCTTAACTGCATTACAGTTGGCGGCAACCCCCTTTAAGACCCCCAGGGACCCAGCCCTGGAATTCCGCAGCGCCATCTTAGCGGTTCCTCACCACCTTCCCGTGGTCCTGCTCCTCCGGACCGTTCTACCCCAGTGTCTCGCTGGTGGAGTATACCAAGGAGGGACTCCCTCAGACCCCGGCCTCGCTTTCCGGCTTGGTCCACAGCCTCAGCCTATCAGGTTGGAGCAGTGAGCAGCGACTAGGCCGAAGTACGCCCTCATTGGACACCGCTCACTGGGGGCGGGACGATGGCGGGGCGGGTGCTAGGGCGGAAGTGGGCCGTCGCGTCTCTGATTACGTAATACCGCGGCGGTCTAGGCGGTTCCGCTCGCTCGTGTGTACGCGGCGAGCGACTCCCAGAGCGGCCTGTCTGGCTCTTATCCCGCCCGCGACCCCGGCCCTGACGCTTGCTGCGGCCCTGCTGCCTCCTGAACATGGACCCCGCAGGCCAAGGTACCTGTCGGGCCCGGTCCGCCCACCGCAGATGGGTCTGGCTGCCTCGCGTTCCGCCCTTCCCAGGATCGCCTCTCGGACTCTCTTGTCCCTTCAGCCCCTTCCGGTTTGCAGACAGTAGTCCCTCTTCAGCCCCTTGGGCCCTGTACGCGGAGATCCCGGTGGTCAGGCTGCTTCCCGGCCTCCCAGCTGTGCTGCCTTCTCGACCCCCCTCCCCCGGGCACCGCTTGGAGGCCCACTTGCGGCCCGACGCTCTCCTAGAGATTTTGGTCTCGTCATTCCAGGGGCTCCCATTATCCCAGTCACCCCTGGCCCGTCCCTTGCTGCGCCGCCCTCCATCCCAGCGCCGGGCCCCCCGGGATTGTCTCACTGGCCTTGGGCTGATTGTCGTGGGCCATGCTCGCGTTCAGCCCCTTGGGTAGCAACGCTGCCGAGGCCCAGGCTCCTTGGGGATTGCCACATGAGGCGAAGGGCGGAGTGAGTCGGGCACACCCAGCTCACTAGGTGTGTTTCCAGATCAGGGCGTGGAGCAGGCCCAGGGCGTGAAGTGGTAGCTAAACACGAGCGTCTGTGTGTTGCGGAGCTGGCCAGGGAACGCCGACCTTGGCGGAGGCACCGGTGGCCAGGGGGCGCCTCAGCCTGTTGGAAGCCTCAGCGTCCCTGGGGTCAGATACGTTCTGGGAGTCTTTCTCCTTCTAACGTCTGTTACGGAGTAGGCAAGCATCAACAGTCCTGGGCTTTTTCACAAAGAGGCAAGTTCACAGGATGGTTTGTTTTTGTAATTGAGTTAAGCGTTAACAGCACTGGATTCTGATTTTGAGAATAGTGGAAAACGTACTGAGCACTACATGCCAGGCTCTCGGCTGCTGACCTACAGGTGGGCAGCTCAGATCCGCTGGTAGTACCATGGGAAAGGCCCGGCCATCAGCTTCCACTAACGTTACAGCCGAGAAAAGCCTATGCAATCAAGCAGGCAAACACTTCCTCAGTAACACTCCAGGTTGCGGGGGGGTTGGAGTGGACTCAACGGCAATGGGTTGGTTCTGTTGGTTTCAGCTGCTGGGCGCCTGTCTGTGCCCATTTCTCAAATGGCTGTTTTCTGTTTTCAGGCCAGATTGGTCCCCTGCTTTATAGATGAGTATGTGGGCTGGGAGAGCTAGGACTCACCCAGGGCACTGGCCTCACACTTCGTCTCTATAAGACCTGGGGTGGGACACTTCTCTGGCCTCAAGCTCCTCCATAAATGAAGACGTGAGTAGCATCCTCCTGTAGGGTGTGGTGACATTGGCAGTCACACAGCGAGATTGTGCAGTGCCTGGTACATGTTTGCCAAGTGCCCAGTTTCATTCTTGGAGTGATTTCCTTGGGGTCCAGTTTTAGCCTTATAGATAGAAACTGTTTAAGGGCCTTCATTTACTTAGAAAAACGGGATAAACTTTGTAACGATGTCAAGGCCTTTATGGAACTTGAGTAAATCCAACATGGTGGCTACAAGTAGGTTAGTCTCAGCTGAGAATAAGATCCATTGTTAAAAACGTGGACCTGCTGCACTTGGTAGAACACATCGAGTGCCAAGGACATGCACAGCTCTGGCTCTGCACTGAGGAAGGGGGACACTTGCAAGTAGGCTGTCTGGTTTTAGGTGAAATTTACTGCAGTAGACAGACATCTGCACCTCAAAGCAGTTTTGCGTTTTATTTTAACATCTCAAGTTGGTAGCAGAGCTGTGCTGGGTAAGAGGGAAGACATTTTCAGCACTGGTCCTAGGAGGACTGCAGAACAGCGCTCAGGTGTTTGGAGTCAGAGGGGACTGGAGTAGGCGGGTCTTCCCCCTGGGCAGTGCCTGGGAGAGTGTATGCAGACCGGCAGGTGTGTAATGTGGACAGGAAAGAGGGCATGAAAGAAGTGACATGGGTGGAAGCAGTATGTCCCCACTGTGCCCAGAGTGTGTTGGCTGACTCTGCAGGGTCTGGCGGCTGGCACAGGCTTCTTGTGTGTCATTTTCTCCTGGGTCCTGGCAGATGAGCTGAGTGCAAAGTGAGGCTACTTGTGTTGTTTACGGCCATATTAAGTTCCTTCTTCTGGAAAGTATGAGATCGGCTGCTTGTTTGCAGCGAGCATAGCCCCGCAGGGAAACCAGAGTTAGAGTAGCTGCCTGCATCAGTGTCCCCAGTGCCCAGAAGCAGTGCCCCGGTATTGGGTTTGCATTGGGGTGGCCGGGGTTCCTGCACAGGCTGTCCTCGGTGTCGTGGTCCATCCTGTCTTCCAGGACTTTCTGGAAAAGAGGCTTTGTTAGTCCTGACAGTCTCTTCAGCTGCCTTCTTCCTTGGATGCCTGCCCTCCTACCTCACTTTCTCCCTCATGGAGACTCCTACCCTTTTTATTTGCTGCCTTCTAACTGGACTCTCTGACCCTGTTCCGTCTCAGTAGATATCAACCTGAACTCTCCTCACAAAGGTCTGCTGTCTGACTCCATGATGGACGTCCCTGTCGACACGGGTGCGGCTGCCCAGACCCCTGCTGCCGAAGGCTTGACGGAGGCTGAGGAGGAGGAGCTCAGGGCTGAGCTTGCCAAGGTAACCCTGTGGGGAGGCCTCTGGGGTTCACGGGGGCCAGGGTGCTGTCCGTGCTGGAGAGATTGCCCTGGGGCTTGCCCACACTGCTCTGTGCTCCCCACAGAGACCACTCTCGGGCAGCCTTTGCTTGTGAACATGTCCAGCTCCATGCCGCCCTCAGCCGCTGGTGGAGGTGGGCTGAGCCTGTCACCCCAGCGTCGTGTGTGGTGGAGAGGGCACTGTGCAGGGGCAGCTGCTCTGCCTGTTGTCTGCTGGGAGCTACATGTGAGTGCCAGTTGCTTCCAGGACTCCAGAAGGTGGTTGGTGCTGTCTGCCCTGGACCTTATGCTTTCTTTCAGATATACTTTTTCTGGTAAAAGTTAATTGTAAAAGCTGCTTCTGTTGACCTGTGAGAGTCCCTTCCGTGGGGAATGCGAATTGCATGTGAGAGCGTCTGTGTGTAGTTTCTGTCCCACTGCAGGATAACCTTCTACCCCTTCTCACCCCATGACGCCGCGTCTCATAGGGGCCCACGTCAGCCTCTAGAATCCGATGGTTGGGAGCCCTGTACGTTATGGGCTTGGCTCTGGCTTCCCGGCATTGAAGATGCGTTCTGGATCAGTCCTGGGTCTGGACAGAGCAGGTCCTGCAAACAAGCCTGCTCCTGGGCCTGGGTTTCAGATGACTCGGGGAAATGACGCAGCTGTTCCTGCATCACAAGAAGGTTAAAAGAGAAGTAGCAGGAACTCCAGGGTGACAAAGGCTTTGCATTTTGTTTCAGAGTATGTTGGTACGGAAGTGGAAACCACAGGGTCTTTTTCAGGATACAGTGGCCAGAAGAAGGAGCTCTTGTGTCACTTACAAATTCCAACTGCATGTCATCCAAGAATGCCAGATACACAAAGCCTGTCTGGCATCTGATCATAAGTGGGATGTTGTGTTCACTGGTTGTAACTGCAGGAGGAGTGGTTTGGACTTAGGGAACTATATGTGTCTTTTAATTATTTTTTGGTTGTGTTCTGAAGCGAGACCTAGTGATGTGGAGAGCTCAGAGCTGGTATTTAGTGCCTCACTGCTTCAGGAATGGGAGCGTGCTCGGGGGGGGGGGTGTGTGTGTGTGTGAGGACCCTGAGAACCCGGGAATATGCTCAGTGGGTGCTCTGGGGTGAGTGAGGGCCCTGAGAACCCAGGAGCATGTCAGTGCATGCTCCTGTGGGGGCTGAGGGTCCTGAGGCTCTTTCTAAAGTAATAAAATTGCTAAAGATGTTTCCATGATATTTGAAGACTTGAGATAGGTCAAATGTTTGTCCCCAGAGTTGTTTTGTTACTAGTTCAAACCCCTTTGAACACAAAAGAGAATTTACTTTCAGCTTTTGCTGAGGGCTGGAGCTGACCTAGAGACATAAATGCTCTAACGTCGGGTCTGTGTCCATCTGTCCATCTGTCATGTGGCCCCTCACCCTGTATGTGAAGCTCCCTCCCAGCTGCAGGTGGGCCTGGCTGCCACTGCTCAGCCTTTTCTCATCCAGTGTAAAAAACACATGGGGTGGCCTCTTCTGACCTCCTCCAACCTCATGAGGGGGAAACAGAATCACCAGTGGCAGCCTAAGGCTGATTCCTATGAGGCCAGACATGCCATCACCCTCCAGCCTTCTTACCAATTCTCACACCAACCATCCCTCCCTCTGCACTCATTCCTTCTCTACTGGTTTTGATAATTGATTGCAGTGGCCACACAGAACCTGTTACTTCCATTAGGGAAGTAACAGGTTACACTTCAGGGAGAGATACGACTCAGGATACAATTCTTCAACCAGGACAGCCTCCCCTCAGCCATGCCCAATGACACACCTCTCTTTGGCCCTCTGCCTCTTGGCCTGGCCTCTGCCTTGCTTGGGCAAGTGTTAAAAGTTCTTTTGGCCTTGCCAATAGGTGCACCCCACTCTACCAACAAGCCTCCTGCCCATCGGCACTCAGCTTTCTCGCTCTGTGGGCTGGCAAGCCCACTGCTCTGTCTGATGTCTTGTGGTTCCACTACCACTGTTTCTGCTGTATCTCTGCAGACTCTGCCAGTCTCTTTGCCTGTCTCTCTCCCAAGGGAGTCCAGCATAGGGATCTTGGTTCCAAGGACACGTTCCACTCTACCTCTGGCTTTTCTGTCTTGATGGCAGTGAGATCCCCCCTTCTGCCTCTAGGAGGCTCACTTTAAGCCTAGCAGGATGACAAAACTGACTAATCCCCACATTAGGGGTCTATACACCTTATTTGCATGGTCCCTCCCCCACAAGGGTGCCATGTACATTATTTACATTACTCACAAGCTGTCCAGTCCCCTTGGTGGGTCACAAGTACCTCACATTTGCACAGTCCCACACACTAATAGGGTGGGAGTCACAAAGACCATGGCTAGAGGAGCTGTACCAAGTCACACCCTCCATCACATCCAAGTTTAAGGCTTACAGTCTAGAGGGGCTTTTTAGTCAGGGCCTAGGACCCGGGTAGGCGCTTCAATGAGCCTAGTTGGCTCATACTCATCTGAGATGAGCCCTGGGGCCAGGCTGGGCCCTGACGTGCAGCCCCCAAGACCACCTGGCTGAGCCCCAAGACTACCTGGCTGAGCCCCCAAGACCACCTGGCTAAGCCCCCAAGACTACCTGGCTCCAGAAGCAGTTGGGGTGTTCATACTGGATCAGAGCACCTGGTGTCTGCTGTGGGGCCTGTTCTGAGCCCAGTGGCGCTTTTGTGGGCAGAGCATCGAGCATGTGCCAGGTGTAGTCCCCCCTGCAGTCTTTCTGGCTGGCCCCGTCGTGTCGGCTCGTGCCTTCTGTGGGCAGAGCATCGAGCATGTGCCAGGTGTAGTCCCCCTGCAGTCTTTCTGGCCTCATTGTGTTGGCTCGTGCCTTTGCAGGTGGAGGAGGAGATCATTACTCTGCGCCAGGTCCTGGCAGCCAAGGAGCGGCACTGTGGGGAGCTGAAGAGGAAGCTGGGCCTCTCCGCCCTGGACGGGCTGCGGCAGAACCTGTCCAAGAGCTGGCATGACATGCAAGGCTCCAGCGCGTAGGTACCCATCCCAGACAGCCTGGGGGTGGAGAATAGGGGCTGTGCAGGAACACAGGGGTCCAGTGTGCTGGGACTAGCTCCCCAATTTGGGGCCTGTACTTGTTTGTGGAGAATATGGCATCCTGCTCATCCTCTAGGTGGAAACTGGCCAGACGTGGGGTGGTGGGGAGCTCTGTTGGAGTCCTGTGTATGTGACTGGGGCCTGTGAGCCTGTCACCAGCACTGAGTCGTACATCATGGGCCTTCACCCAGACTCACCTCACCCTTCTGAATTTGGGACACCATTTCCGACCCAGCCTTGGCTCTGTGGCCCTGTTAATAAGCACATCCAGCAGGTGGCTGTCTGGCATTCTCTAGCCATGGGTAGCTGTCCTGCCACCTCCCCCCAGTGGTGACTCAACTGAGCACTGCCTACTGGGAGTGAGCAGCCCCCCGACACCTCACTGGGATCACCTGGTGCCAGCATGTGCCGAGCAAGGGTGCAGGCATGGTTGTGGCAGCAGACTTTCCTCAGATCAGCCCTTGGTTTGCTCTGTCAATGGGTCCTTTTCTGTCTTTCTCAGAATTCCACGGACAGTTTCAGACCTGAGTTAAAAAACTTATTCTAAATTGTTCACCACAGACTTTCTGTTTTTAGCTATGTGAAAACTTCTGAGAAACTCGGAGAGTGGAACGAAAAAGTGACCCAGTCTGACCTGTGAGTGCCTGTAGCTGGCAGCACCACCCTCTTCCCACCCCTCACCTCTTCTGTTGCTCTTCCTCCTGACCCACCTGCCCAAGTGGCAGGGAGGGTTTGTGCTTGACGGGGTTGGTGTTCTGATATTTGCTTACCCTTGTCTTCTCTCATACTGTGAAGGGGACCACGCTTTGCTTTACACTCTCACCAAATGGGGCAGTGGAACAGACGGGGTGCAGACTGTGTACAGCGGGACAGATGGAACAGATGGTGCAACAGGACAAACAGGGTGCAGTGGACAAACAGGGCAGGTGGTGCATTGGAACAGACGGGGAGCAGTGGGACGAACGGGGTGCAGACGGAGTACAGCGGGGCAGATGGGGTACAGACGGGGAGCAGTGGGACAAACGGGGTGCAGACGGAGTACAGTGAGACAGATGGGGCAGACAGTGCAGCAGGGCAGACGGTGTAGTGGGACGTAGGGGTGCAGATAGTATACAGCAGGACGGATGGGGCAGATGGTCCAGTGGCACAGACGGTGCAGCGGGACAGATGGGGTACAGATAGTGCAGCTGGACAGTGCATTGGGACGGATGGTAAACGGTATAGTGGGACAGATGGGGCAGACGGTGCAGCAGGGCAGATGGACTACAGATGGTGCAGCGGGGCAGATGGGGTGCAGACAGTGTACATTGGGGCAGATGGGGTACAGACAGGGTGTACAGACAGTACATTGGGGCAAGTGGAAGCAGACAGTGTACAGCCTGGACGTGGCGCAACCTTTGGAAGGGAGTGCTGCTGAGTCACTGGGGCTCTGTGAGGCTTGGGGAGCATCTGTGACTCCAAGTTCTTTGGCTTTTAATTGAGTGAAGTGGCCAGGTGCGAGCTGGCCTGACCCTTTTGGTGGCAGTGATGTGTTTGTCTGACTGGCCGTTTTGTTTTGGTCCTTAGAGCATCACTTATATTTCTGGTTCCAGGTGAAGGGTCTGGAGGGAGCATTTTCTGTTCTAGAAAGTCAGGTGGAACGTTAGTGGCTGAGAGTCATGGATAGCTTTAATTGAGGTGTTACTTTGGGGGACAGTGACTCTGGGTGTCTCATTGAAGACCTTGAACTAGGTGGTGACACCTTCATGAATCTGCTTCAGTCTCATTTACGCATATCGGAAACTGGGTGGCATATTCAAAGATTCTCTATTTGGAAAGAAGTGCTATCACAGTTGCCAGAGAACACAGCAGATAGTCCTTTCGTGTGTGGAAGGAGAGGACACGGTCACGGACGGGGAGGGGAGGCCCCGGCTTGCGACTCGTTGGACCGCTCATTGGCCTGGAGGCTGTCGGCCTCAGGCTGGCAGGCCAGGTCACCCCCAAGGAAGCATGGAAGGCCCCACTGTGTGAGGAATGAGGTTCTGCCCCATCTGTCCCGCTGTACACTGTCTGTACTCCTGTCCGGGAATGGCCAGAAGCCTCCTTCCTGTACTCAGAGCTGTGTGGCGAGACCCCTCCAGGGATGAGCTGGAAGCCTCCCCATGCTCAGAGCTGGGTAGAGATCCCTTGGTGAGAGAGAGTTGGGGCAGCAGTTGGCAGAAATAGGAGGGAACTGGAGCCCAGGTGGGAGCCCAGGTGGGAAACAGCCCTTGGGAAGGTTGGGAAAGGGCTTGGGAGGGGGCAGAGCTGAGCCCTGGGGCACCACCATTGGCTCTTCCTGCTGACAGTGACGGTTGGAGGCTGCTGTCATCACAGGTCAAGTCGGTCTGGAAAGAACTTTTGGGTTGTACCTAGTGATGCTGAGGCGGACCTCCTGCCTTGGCTGAGTAGAGCACTGTGGCCAGGGCTTTGAGTTTAGGGTTTGGTAATGGGGTCTGTCATGTTACAGGCTCCTGCGTCCTTCTTTTTGTTTGTGGAAGCAGCTGGGTGAGACAGGCAGTGTGAGATGTCCCGCTCAGAGTGGCCTGTGGCCCTGGCTGGCCTGTGGCTGCAGTGCCTCGCTCGTGTGGCTCTTTCTGTCCTGCAGAGACCATGTTGAGGTGGGGAGCCACCCTCCATTGTGCCTGGGGGGAGGAGATGGAAACAAAGATCTTGGTGCCAATACCAGACGCTCGCCTTGCAAATGGCGTGGCATTGAGCTGCATGCCTGATGCCCCCACCTTGGGGAGCACTGACCCCGACAAATGCACATTTGCACTTGGGAGCACACTCCCTCCAACCCCTGGCGTGGATGTGGCTGGGGTCCTGCTTACACGAGAGGAGAATGTAGGAGTTCCAGTGTGTGTTAGTTAGGTTCCCTTCACTGTGGTGAAGGGCTCCTGAGAGGACCATCCTGCCCCTGTGCCATACTTGTGGCCTCGGTCTGGGCTCTGCTTTCCAAGAAGAGCAGAGAGTAGAGGGTGGGGCACACAGGTGTCACATGGAGGCAGTGAGAGAGGCAGAGAACTGTCACAGCGTTGGGGAGATGTAGCTTCGTGGAGCTAAGAGCTCAGTAGGGCCATGGGGACGTGATGCACCCTGTCTGTGACAGCTAGACGCGTGCTTACCTCAACTCCTCCATCCCTGTGGGGTGGCCTTGCCATCCAGTTGACTGGACTTGTGTTGCCTCCCCTCAGCTACAAGAAGACTCAGGAAACGCTCTCACAGGCAGGACAGAAGACATCAGCTGCCCTGTCCACTGTGGGCTCTGCGATCAGCAGGAAACTTGGTGACATGAGGTGAGACATCTGGTTGCTCTGCTCAGCCTTGTGGCTTGGTTCTTTGAGGCTTCTGGTGGAGGTGGCCTTGGCACCCCAGCTACAGCCGCACCAGCCCTAGTGTTAACCCTGTGTGTCTCCCTCTATTTCCTTATCCTTAGTGAGGAGTGGTGGTCACTGTAGCCGTCTGACTGGTGGTCAGGCATGCTGAAACAGGGGTCTATCTTGGGTGGGCCACAGCCGTCCTTGGGAAAAGCCCCCATGTGCATCCCTCAATGTCTGTCTGGCCTGAGTCTCAGTGAGATGCTTCCTGGATGCTGGTGTGCAGCCAGATACCCAGGGCCAAGCCAGCACACGTTCCCAGAGGCCTGGCCTTGAGGGCAGTGACTGGGGACAAGGCGTGACCGAGCAGCTCAGGTGTGCCGTGGCTCCACCCACGGACCAACACTTTGCCCTCATCTCCTGCGTGTGACCGTGATGCCAGCCTTCCTCGGGCCAGCACAGTGATGAGGAGGATGGGCTGGAGCCCACTGGGCTGCTGTTTCAGCCCTGTGTACAAGGGGGGTGGAGACGGGCCCTCGGAGGGCAATGTGCAGAGGAGTGCCCGGTAGGCACATTGTCCCCTTGGGCTGGCTCCCACCTCGCTCCTCCCCACTTGCTGGGTTTAAGCACCCCCCTTCCCTAGTCTGGCAGATGTCCCATGGGGCCCCAGGTATGGGCTGTGCCAGCCGTGCAGAGGCTCTCTGTGGGCTGTCTGGATCTGTGAGCCTGTGGGGGAGCACAGCATTTAGTATGCACCTTTGCTTGCCCCTGTGCCTTTAGGGGGCCCTATGGGTCACCCATAGCCACAGCCCCACGCCCTTAGGTCAGTGCTCAACCTGCTTGCAGCTGCGTCCAAATGAGCAGGCACTGGCCTGTGGGACACCACACCCCAGGCCTGCCTGGAGCTGGGCTGCAGCGCTGCTCTGCAGCTGTAGGGACCAGGGTCTCCTGGCTGTGAGCTGTGGTTCTCCCAAACTCGGTGGGCACAACTCATCTGAAATTAGGCAGGTGTTGGCACCATGCTGCTGCACTCTCTGGATGCCTGCTCTGGCCTCTGAGCCTCTCGGTGAGCTGGAGCCATGGCCATGCCCAGGGCAGCCAGCCTCCCGGGTGGTCAGCATCCCCTTCCCCTGGCTGCTGGAGGGAAGCTCATAGGCTCACACCTGCATGTCCCCCCCAAAGCGCGGTGCCTCAGCATGCCTCATGGGGGAGCTGTGGATATTAGGTCTTCCCGAGTTGAGTTCTCCATGAGGAGCCCTTTCTGTCACTGTGGCGTGATTCGGCTCGGTTGAGTGCCCCTCATGGTTGAGTTTGTCAGAGCATTTAGGATGGGCCCTGAGTGCTTCTCCAGCTGGGGAGGACTGCCTTGGGCAGAGGCCAGCAGCTCATTGTGTGGTGGTTTCTCGTTGTCCATCTGCCTGCCCTATCTGGTGAAGGAGGACTGGGACCTCGAGTTTCAGTGCGCCTTGGGGGGCATTTGCACATGGTGGAGGGGCTTGTGTTGCCTGTGTTCAGTGGCACTGTGAGGGCTGGCCTTGATCCTATGTTTGTTCTTGGCTGTTGCAGTTACCGTCATCTTGTGCTGTGGCCATGGTGCTATCTGAGGTCAGGTCTGTCACCTGCCCTGGTTCAGAGGCCCCCCAGGGAGGGTCATGTGAATTCTGGGCCCAGTGGGCCTTCATGGCAATGGTGTCCTTGAGGACTGGCCCTGTGGGGCTGCAGGCAGAATGGGAGGTGAGCTGGTTGCTGTCCAGCCTTCCACCTAGAGCGGGCTGGCATGTTGGTCGGCACTTGGTGCCCAGAGTCCTAAAGGCCAGGTCCTTGAGCGTTCTCTGTGTCAGGAACAGCAACCAGGACCCAATAGTGGGTGGGCTATGCTAGGCTCCAGCCTGGCAGGTTGCACAGGACATGGCTGGCGGCTGACACCCCCAGCAGTGACTGAGCCTGGGGGTCCCCAGGGACTCTGGGTCCTGTTAGTTGCTTGTACTCTGAGACAGCAGATCTGCGGGCATGTGGGGACACTGTCTGGGTCTGCTGCTTATCGTGGAGCTGCAGGCAGGGCTTTCTCAAGCAGCGACCAGGCTGGACCTTCAGCATGGCTGTGAGGCTAGGCCACAGTGGCCTGCACGTGTGCATGCAGAGTTGTGTTAGGACACGGCCACTCTGCGTAGTCTGGGTGGCAGGGGGGTTTCTCCGGTCAGCATGCAGGACATAGCGGCAGCCATCCCTCCGGATGGAGGTTCGGTGTTGTCCTGGGAACTTGATCTAGGTCCCCTTCCTGATGTGTCTTTTTCCTTTTCTTCTGCTGCGTTGGCTCAGGGCTCATCCGTTCTCACACTCCTTTAGGTAAGACTGATGCAGCTCTGGAATGGGGCTGGGCCTGCTGGTGGGGTAGACATGGTAACAAGACCCCTCGGCCCTGCCTCCTCCCTGGCCTGGTGTCTGTGTGCCAGCAGCTGGCAGCTGCTGCAGAGACTCTGGCCTCTCAGGGGTCACCTGCCCTGCATCACTGCACATGGAAGTCCCTCATGGTACGTGCAGTGTCTGCCCTGCCTGCGCCTCAGAGCCCCTCCTGTGCTGCAGACGCAGCCTGCTGCCTGGGCAGCCTTCCCAGCTTGCCCTGGGTCCTGGGACCCAGATATCCCACCCGTGATCGGCAGTATTGCACTTTCTCAACTCGGCTACTGCTCTTTTGGTCCTTGAAGTTGCCCTGAAGTTGGTTGGGCAGCTGAGGGCTGCTTGTACCCAGAAGCAGGCCTTGTCGACAGGCTGTCTTGTTTCACGCCTACTTCATGTCTGGGCCAGGCCTGACTTGTGGACTGACCTCTGGTGTTTCCTTAGCGGGGAGGAGGAGAGAGCCTTGGTCTAGTGGGACCTTTCCCCTGGCGTGGGCCCCTCTGGAGATCCCTCCTGTCCTCACTCTGCCAAGTCAGACTTCAGCACCGCTGAATGGTATTAACGCTCGCTTCCTTCTTTGCTTTCACCATGCTTCCTTCTGAGCAGCAGCTACTCCATCCGCCACTCCGTCAGTATGCCAGCCATGAGGTAACGTGGGCCCATCCCGCCCCCTGTTCTCACAGCTCCCTAAAGCAGGAGCACCGTGCCCTGCATCCTGGCGTCAGCAAGGGGCTCTGGAAAGGCTCTTCTGAAATCCCTCTGCCTGTCAGCCATTGCTGCCCTGTGTGCACAGTGGGGTCAGCTCGGGCGGGACCAGGTGTCCCCAGGGCTTTCCCCTACGGGGCCTGGAGCTCCTTGGGGATATCTGGAGCCACAGTTTCTGGTCCCTCCTGTCACTGCCATGGTTGCAGACAGAGCTCCTGTCCCTGTTGCCTGCCTGGCAGGCCTCTAGGGACCAAGGGGACCCATGTTTGTGGGGGTGGGCGGATGCCTCAGCTGGCCTGCTTTCCCTGCTGCCCTCCAATCGCCCTTGGTTCCCTTTTGCTCTGAGAGGTGTGTGTGAAGAGCACTTGGGGACTTTTCTAACCCAAATTCGGAAAGCCTCTCTGGGGACAGGAGAGGTGTGCCCACTATCCTGTCCGTCATGGTCAGGGTCTGCAGGTCACCCGTGGGAGGCCTGGTCTCACCAGCAGGTGGCAGGCACGTGTCTGTCCCAGGGGCGCTGTACACACGCACATACACACACATACACACACATGGGGTGTGGGGCCTGGGTTTGGCAGGCCGTGTTTATGCAGTGGGATCTCAGGATACCATGGAGGCCTGAGTCAGGCCCCGTAGACTTGGGGGTGGGGGCATCATGGCCGTCCTTCTGGGCACTGATAGCCATTCCCTCTCTTCTAGGAACTCTGCCACCTTCAAGTCGTTTGAGGATCGTGTTGGGACCATAAAGGTAACCATGGGGTCGCTGGTGTCTGAGTCTCTGGACAGTGTGTAAACTGTCATTTCCATAAACTTCTTAAAAAGTTTTTGTTTCGAGATGATCCTAGATTCTCTTGCAGTTGTAGGAACTAAAACTGAGAGAGGACCTGTACCCTTTACCCAGTTCCCCTCCACAGTAACATCTTACAGAACTGCAGTACATGCCCACAAGGAGCCCCATCAGCCTTCAGAGCTCCTTCCTCCCACTCTCACCTGCCTTAGCCCCGGCCACCACTGGCCCCTCTCAGTTCTGTAGCTGTCGTGTGGTGACTGAGTGCTGTATGATGGGACTGTGTGCTCTGCAACCTTCTGGGGTGGCCTCTGTCCTGCAGCACCTCCTGGAGATCCGTCCAGGTGGTTGCCTATATCCACAGTTCCTTTTGCTTCCAGCCGAGCAGTGTCCTTGCTAAGTAGACTCTGTAGCATTGGGCACCATGAATCCTGGCCTGGGCTTATTCTAGTTCACCTTGTGCTATGTCCAGGTGTGCGGTCCATGTAGGTTGATGGGGAGTCCCGGCCTGGGCTCTGTGTCTCTGTGTCCTCTGGTGCTGTGTCTCAGGTGTGTGCTTTCTTTGTTTTCTTTGGTGTAGTCTAAAGTCGTCGGTGGCAGAGAGAATGGCGGGGACAACCTTCCTTCTCCAACAGGAAATAGTGACAAGCCCCTGCCGGATCACGCCCCTTTCTAAGCTCCAGCAGCTTTGCCTGGCCATGGAACGCGCACAAGTACCCCCAAACCTATCACAACTGCAGCTCTGCGCAACAGGACCAGCCAGCAGCCCCCATGGGAAAGGAGCAGGCCCATGTGCGACGTGCACTGGGCCACACAGGCAGCGTAGCCTGGGACTCGGGCATTTTACACTAAAGTTTGCAGAGGGGTAGATCACTGTGCCATCCTTCCTGGGGTGCAGGAAATGGAAAGGCAGTGGGTCCTCAGGGGTCTTGCACCAGCACCCACACTCCTCTTGGACTCTCATGAGTGTGTCAGGATGGTGTGAGGGTAGAGATAGTCTTTCCTGACCTCCTCCTCCTCCTTCCCCAAGCCCAGGGTGCAGTCACCTGCAAGCCCTGTCATGCCGCACTTGTTATTTCAAACTGCCGAATCTGAGGGCGGCCATTTCTCAGACCTCTAGGAAGGAGCTAACCTAGCAGCCTACTTGTTACACTAACGATCCAGCTTTAACAAAGGGAAATTCTTTATTTTTTAAACACGATGGACTTTTCAAAAATTAAAATGAAGCAAAGCAGCTTTAGCCTCATAGTTAGTCTTGTTTCTTTGGACTTGGCTGAAGTACATACCTTACGTCGCCTTTTGCTTTAGTCTTTATAATCCTTGTCTGCTTGGAAACAAGGGCTCCTGACGTGTATGCATCAGGTGTGGTCAGGTCCAGCTGTGGGCCAGCACCTGCCCGTCCGCCATTGTGCTCATTTCACTGACCACCCACCGTCCATCCCACCACACTTGCTTTTCTCTCTTCCCACAAGGGTGGCAGCTCCCAGGCCTCAGAAGGGGCATGAGAACCAGAAGCCTCTGCTCTCAGCACCCACCACGATGCCGCCGCACTGTGTTACAGTGACCCCTGAGGGTAATCGCTGGCTGGTGACCCCGTGTCCATACGCAGCATGGGTGAGAAGTAGAACCAGCCTTCCTGGGACAGGTCAGGGATGGGCCATAGGAACCAGCTGGCACCTCTGCTCTCACCTTTTCTCAGGAGCTGTGCTCTGGCGGTGTGCCTGTGGTGTGGTGTGGTGTGGTGTGGGGGACAGTTGTGTGCCTTACTGGTCCTGGACAGGAGACGTGGCGTTGGGCCTGCTCAAGGCTCTTTGTGTTCTGTGACCCAGAGAAGCAGGTTTGACACCTCGTGAGCCTCCTACCACCTTGCACGTGTGCCGTCAGTTCCCCTTCTGGGGTCTTCGCTGTGGCCTCGAATTAGGTTTGGCGAGAAGGCGGCTGCAGGGTGGTCACTGGCTGGCCTTTCAAAACAGCGACAGGTGGGTGCCCCATCAGTAAAGCATTCCTTTTGGGGAAAAACCCTCTTCACCTCGTGTGGTGTCACCTCATCAGGAGGTGAGCAAGGAGTGGCACATGGGCTGGTGTGGCCTCTATAGCAGGGAGCTCCCCTCTAGGGAGAGCAGACAAGAGCAGGTCACTGGGGCAGGCAACACCCAGGTGTGGTAAAGGTAGCCACAGAGCACAGTGAGGACATGCCCAGATCTGGGGTCAGAGTGGGTCTTGGGGAGGAGGAGCCCCAGGTGGAGGGAGCAAGGGTCTACAGGTGAGCACCAGCGGGGACTCTGCACCGCTACAGGGAGTTGGCCTGGCAAGAGTTTGTTCAGGTCCTGTGGGCATCTCTCCATGCTTGACAGCTGTTGGGGTAAAAGGAGGCTACACCTCCTCCCTGCTGCCTAGACAGGCCCCAGGGAGGCGCCTGCCTACCTCTGACCAGTGGAGCACACGCCAGAAGATGGGCTGTGTGGGGTGGTCTGGTGGGGTTACAGTGTTTGGTCCACAACCACCCTGTGGAGGAGTCTCTGTTGTCTGGATGAAGGGCCACCTGGGGCCTGAGGTCGCTGAAGAACCAGAGGAGCCACCAGGCTCAGAAGATGATGCGCTAACCATGGTGCAAATGAGAAGGGGCTGTCAGGTAGATGGGCCAGGAGGAGGGAGTTTTCCAGGCGGCGGTGCCAGCAGACCCACCAAGAGGACCTGGAGGTCTCTTGGAGTACACTCATGATGCTGGTAGGGAATTCCCAAGGCGAGAAGACTTTTAAGGTAATCTCAGAAACAGGCTTCTGCCCACCCTGTGTGAGGGCCATCATGACTGGCTGGGTGTGCAGTCTCTTCATGAATATTCACTCGGCTCCCTTGGTCTTCACCACACTGCATGCTGCTCTCACGAGACCTGCTCTCTGCCTCCCTCCCTCTCCTACTTGCTGCCATCCCCCCTCCTCCTCACACAGCCCAGCATGACAGCCCTGTACAACAGTGAGCTGGTGCAAAGCGTAGAGCACTATTGTCTGAGGAGTCAGCACGTAGGAGTTTTGGAAATGAGTTCCATGCAGTCTTCATTTATTAAGTATTTGAAATGTCATGTGGATAAGAGACTGCTGCGTTTTGTGAGGTACCAGGGTGAGTCAGAGGAGGACCCAACCCTCAAGGATTTGGCAATTCTATTTGTTGGGAAAGATAAGGTGTCTATCTACATTAGTGTGAAACATGTAAGAAGAGGAATGGTAAAGTCCAAGTTTGGGAACTGGAGGTTGTAATCAAGGGCACGGCTGGAGGGGTTGGCATTGGAGAGGGAGAGCAATTTCTGTCTGAAGTTCTGTCTCTTCCTTGAGAACAAAGAGGAGCATCTGCAGCAGAGTGAAGGATATGAGGCTGGTCCAGCAGAAGCCAATAGTGTGTGACTCAGAAGCACTAGTCACTTCCAACATTGGACAGCTGTCCTTCCAGGCTCCCTCTAGACAGGTTGGCTTGTTTGCTCTTAAATACATTTGTAATCACTCTATATGAACCTGCTTGCTTATTTTTTTTTGCAGGAGCAGTCGCAGCATTTCCAATGTACTATGTAGCCTTTGACTACATATTCAACGGTTGTGTACTACTTCATACAATTAATTGATTGTACAATTAGTTGTTTTCCATTTTCACTGTTTATCATCATCTTAGTGCATACCCCTTTTTCTGTATTTGAGAACATTTTCTTAGGGAGCATATCCCTGAAGTGGAATTTCTGGGCCAAAGCAGAACTTCTTGCAGCTCCCCACACACTCCCAGTGCTGCTTCAATCTCACATTGGTACCAGGCCCATTTTGTGCTTCATTCTGCCACTGCTTCTGTCCTGAAAGTTTCATCCTCTTGAATCAGGGCAGACATTAGTCCGGCTTTTGTCTTTGGATCTCCATGAGCAGCAAGGCCTTTTCTTCCACCTGCATGCTGACTTGAGGTCTCCACCACTTACACTTCTGAGCCTGGAACAAGCTTGGCAAGTCCAGGCAGCAAATGAAGGCAGTGTGGCAGAAAGCCAGAGCCGGCGAGCAATTGATACAGAGGGTGCTCTGTCGGGGAAGGCCATGGCTGTCATCTGGTTTGTGTATTAAAGAGGCCGCTGAACAGAAAGTGGCCAACGGGGGCAAGAGCGGATGAGGAGGCCTGCAAAACTGCGTGCAGAGGGGCCGTCTGGCAGCTCCGGGCTTGGCCCGCAGTAGCACAGAGCAAGCGCATCAAGGCGTGAGGGGGACGGTGGTGCGCATGTCTGCATCGCAGGGCTGGACCGGCGGGGCAAAGCCCGGGGAAGGGGAGGAGCACGGCGGAGGAGAGCCGGGGCGGGGCAGGACTGGGCTGTGGTGGCTCGCCGCAGTGATTGGACAGGAAGGAAGGAAGGCTGACTAGTATCAGTCGCACGACGCGGTGGGGGGGCTGGCTCCCGGCACCAGCCTTCAGCTCCATCTCCCGTTCCTTGTCAGGGACAGTTACATCACCTCAATCTTACATAAAGCGCTAAGCAAATTCAGCTGCAATGACAGCACCCCGCACCTCTCCCTCCTCGCGATACCCACCACAGCGACCCTCCAGGGGGTCCCTGAGGCCCCGCCCCGCGCCCAACCCCTTCCCCACTGGGCAGAGGGCGCTTCCGGCTCCGCCCTGCGCGCCCTGCCCACCGGACCGCCCACGGGCTGTCACTCAGGCTCCGCCCATCGGGGCGTGGCCTCGGCCCTGCATTCTGGCGCACGCGCCGGCACGCCCGCTGCCCGGGCCGCAAGGGCCCACGTCCGCC